CCTCTCTCTCTTTCTTTCTTTCTTTCTTTCTTTCTTCCTCCTTCCTCCCTCCTTCCCTTTCTTTCCTTCTTTCCTTTCTTTTTTGCCTTATCAGTTTAGGAAAACACTTTTAGAAAACATTTCTATTTTTACTAGAGCTCATGACAAGCTTTATTCTTAATAGAGCTCCCTGAGTATATCAAATGTAAAGCGGTCTCACATGTAAAATGACTGTATGTGCATCATATTTAAAGATGCAAATAATGAATAGTTATGCATAACATCGAAATGCAGGGTATCTTTGGGGATTGAGGGGAACAACAAATTAAATAAATTCAAATTCCTTATAACAGAATTTGCACAAAATTGGCAGGTTTCCTGATCTTTAAGGGACTAGAATAAATTTGCAATCAATGGACCGCGGCTGCACAGCAGCCTGGCGCTGTGAGCTTGAGTGGTTTAGGGTTTATCATTACGAACTTGCGTTATTCTTTCAACATGCAGCAAAAATACTCAGAGCGTGACATATGAAAGAACAACGTTTAAAAGCCCCACATTCTTATTCGTCTGGCTGGCTCTCCGTGTGCTCCCTCTGTAATCGTGTTGAACCCGGTCGCTGAAGTCACCGTCAGGACATCGGCGAGCGCCGGGCAGGCACCGGGCGGCAGGCACAGGGCGCAGCGCGCGAACTGCGCGCTCACGCCGGGGGTCCTCCCTCTGCGGGGCCCTGGACTCGGCGCCCAGGTGGAGCCCGTGCTCCTGACAGGCGCCGTCCCACCCTCCTCGCCGCCTCCCCCAGGCCGTCACCCCTCGGCCTCACGCCACCCGGTCAGGGTCCTGAGCCCCGCGCCCTGTGCGCCGCGCGACCCCCGAGGACGCTGCTCCGTCTGGGCTGCGCTTGCTGCGGGGATCGGCCACAGGGACCTGCGGGACCGTAGCTCGGTGACCCTGCACACGCTTTTGTTTATTTTTTGTCTTCGCCTAAGGTACTGTGTTTTTAAAAAGTTTTGAAAGGGAAAGTTTCAATGGACTACTGAGTAGCTGTGTGATCTGGGGCAAATTCACTTCTCCGGACCTCCTGTGTCTTATTTAAATAGAAAAAAGGAGAACGAAAAACAATTGAATCAATGCCCGAACCACCTCTAGATGTTGTTGTTTTATGAATTATAAGACCATATGTCCCTACAGCATGTACTGTTAAAAAAGAAAGCTCACAAAATTTGACTACTGTTTAAACAATAATATAAACGTGAATAGACTGATGGCAGTTTTCATAAGTAATTTTTATTTTTGTTGACAATAAAACCTTTTAAATGTTGGGATGTTGTTTTCAGCCAGCAACACAATCTTACCAATATAATTCACTATTAAATGTGATGCAGTCTTCAGAACACTTTTATCCCTTTATACTTGAAATTGTCATCAGTAAAAGCATCTGCTGCTCCCAAGGTGGACCTTCGTCCCCTCTGAGAGGACCGGGTCATCTCCGGCTGGGCCTTCCTGCCGGCCAGGAAGTGTGACGTGCATCCGACGCACTGAGCTCTGGGGCAGGGACTCTGAAGGCCGCATGCGGCATTTCGTGGACGAGGGCAACCTATGAGAGACGGAAGCAATGAAGTCAGTTTTCTACATTTAATAAATAATTTATATCTAAGTGGCGGCGCTCTCTTGGCAGAAGATTGAGTCAATCACGAACATTTGATCAAATGATACCCTAACAGTAAGTTCCTCTCTTGGGGGTTTCTTTCAGGGGAGTTGGCAAGAGTTGGAAAATAGGGTATAGTCCACAAAACTACGAAATATTTCTAATAGCTTTCTGGCCAAAAGGATTCTAAATGGTAAAACATGAAAAAAAAAGTGAATTGCAAATATTATTGCAAATGAGCTATTGACTAAAACAAATCCAAGTCCTTATTTTAAAAATCTGCCCCCAAAAGGCGTGTTAAATTTAGGTGAAAGAATACATTTCCAAAATTACTGCTCAGACGTTTCCACTGACCTGTAGTTTCTTGTGTAATGTGATTCCAGTCTGTTAGTTTGGTGCCCGCGGCCAAATAACTTCCCGTTCCAGCTGCGGCTCTCCTCCCCGTGCAGAAAACAGGGAGCGGCCGCACTCGGCCCGGTCCCCTCCGCTTCCCTCCCCGGGAGGGGCTCCCTGCCCACAGGCGTTGTCCTCTGGGTCCTGACGTTTGCTTCACTTTTCCCAGGAAGAGTCCTCCAGTTTTCATTTCTTCTTTCATGAGAAAAATCAGTCTGACTCAAGTTATAGTTGGCCTATAACACTGGGGGTAGCTGTGTGTCCATTGTATTACGTTATTACTTGAACTTGGAACCTCTGAAACCTAGCACAGACCCTGGCAGCAGGAACCAATAAACATCTGTTTATGTGAACTTGATTTCTTGTATTGGAAACAGAAATCTCTTGGAGTAGATGTTTGTTATCAGAAATATTTGGTGGACATGGCTGAAGAAGGTCATACTCAATAAGGTCAGTTATGATCCATTGAATTTAGATGTTGATTGACTCAGAGAGCCAAACCTTTGATATCAGCCACAAAGCTTCAAAATGAAGGGAAAAAATGTAGCTTATGGTCAACTCCACCCCTGCCGTGGGATATTACAGGGTGTAAGTCTTTTTGTGTGCAGTATACAGAATGGCCAGACAAATCAGAGAGAGCTCTCAGAATACCCACAACAAATTAGAGCAGAGTCTATAAACCAGCAGCTGGTTTCAGGTGGTCTTGTTTCAAACACAGTAGGACAGTAACCCAGTCTTACCGTTCCTGCTCGGTCTAGGAGGTGGTCTAGGAGGTGGTCTAGGAGGATCAAATGTTGGATGTGATCACAAGGGACTGCCCAGGAATTCCAGACCTGAGGAGCGTCTCACAGAAATGTCCCCATTTTCCCCGACTAATTGTAGCTGAACAGGTCATTATAATTGTAAACACAATATTATCATTACAAATACAGTCGCAATGGTAAACAAAGTCACAGCCGCTGTCGTCCTGTGCGCTGGTGGACTGTATTTGTCCAGCCAGCAGCTCAGTGTTGGTCTAGATTTCGGAAGCATCAAAGCTGCTGCTGGCAACCACCTTTCAGAGCGGGCGCCTCCTCCGTGCCAGGAGTGATACGTCGTGACCTTCGCTGTCCGCCCTCCCGCCAAATAACGGATGGGACCAGGGCTCACAGTTCAATGTCCCCCAACAGCTCCTGGCCGGGACACTCATATAAATGAACGGTTCTGGACAGGGGGTAATTTTGTCCCTAGAGGACATAAGGCACTGCTCGGGGACATATTTCTTAGTCACAACTGGCGGTGGGGCGACCGGCGTCTAGTGGGGAGGGGCGGGGGCTGCGGCCGACTACCGCGCCGTGCGCCGCACAGCTCGGTCCTGATGAAGGGCGGGCGCAGCCCAGGGACGCGCAAGCCCCGGCGCGTGGAAACCGCGCGGAGAGGGCACGCTGGGCGAGGGGGCAGGGCCCCATGGGGTGATAAAGAATGGCAAAGGAGCCCGTGACCAAAAAAGGGGGGCATGGCAGAAACAAATGAACGGCAGACACGTGGACGGCGCAATGAGCCGCCAATCAAAGCGGCCGACCGGTAGGCTCAGGCCTGATCTGGTCAGAGGCCGGGCTCGACGTTCACTCGGTGACTTCTGAGCAGGGCGCCGTGTAGGGAGTAGTTTTTTGATCAGAGTAACATCTCGTGAACTTAATTCCTGGAATTTCCACGGTTTCACTCATCAGTTCACTGTACATCAGCGCTTTGGCTCATGTAAAACCAGGACACCTCCCGCAGACGGGGGAGCTCCGCGGCGGGCAGGTGCCCCCGCCGGCAGGGACGGAGGCCGCGCTCCAGCCGCAGCCCCCGACCCTGCTGCCCGGCCCGGGCGGAGCTGGGCTGCGGCACCCGGGAAGGCCCATCTCTGCAGCCCGGCCCTTCCTTCAGCGAGTGGCGCGCGGTCCCCAAACGTCCTTGGAATTACCCTGAGGAATGTTATTCTAACCCATTTTTCTTTCCTTCCCCTCCCCCTCCCTCCCGAGTTCAGACCTGCCTCGTGGCCCGAGGGCTCCCCCTGAATTCTCCCGCTACCTTCCCGCTTTCCCTGACAAGTATTTTCACCAATAAATCTTCACGCCAAGTCCCATTTGTCCGCTCCATCTCCGAGGACCTCAACTAGCACAGATCACCACGATTTACTGGTTATATCAACTGGTAACTCACCCATCGTTGCCAATGACGAGGGTTTTACCGGATTTCCTCCTGCTGGTTGGAAGCCCCTGCTGTCCGGGTTCCCCTCCCCCCACAAACGTCGGTTTCTGTTGCCAGGATCGTCCGGCTCCGCGCAGCTGGGGGAGCGTGGCCTGAGCGTGGCCTGAGCGTGGCTGTGGAGGGGCCTGTCTCTCCCCCGCGCGGGGCTGCTTTGCGGAGGGGACGCAGCGCGCGTTTTCCCCTTGAACGCCTAACTGGAGACGACATTTCTGAAGCAATTAGATGAACAAACCCAACTATCGGGGGGTATGAGTCTCCTAAAATATAAGAAATGCCATGTATTTAAATTCTCCGCTAGGTTTCCTGTTTCCTATCCAGGGAACCAGCAGTAAAACATACGAAACAAAGAAAACAAAGAGACGCGCTCTGGGGCCCACAGGCGAAGGTGCCCCCGTCCCTAACGCGTGCCCGGCGCACAAACACGGAATCCCGCGACTCGCCTCCGAGAAATGCGTTTATTTTGGCCCCACGCTTAGGTGAAGCACAGCTACGTGAACCAACGCGAGGAGAGAAGGAAGAGGAGAATCTTAGAAGGGGAGTCGCAGGCGGGAAGCTGAGCGTGGGCGCGGGAACGCAGGTCGGCTCTGTCTCTCGCGTGCGGCCTAAAGAAGGTCCCGGACAAGGTCGGTTTGCCCGCAGCCTGGCGCGCGCTTCCGGGAGCGGGGACGGCCGCCCCGGGCGGTCAGGCGGCGGCAGAGGCCCGGCAGGGCCGGCGCGCCCTGGGACCCCGCGGAGGCAGCTGGCGGGCTCAGTGGGCGGGTCCGAAGCAGCGGGAGCCGAAGGCCGGCGGGACGCAGGCTGCCTGGCAGGTCCTGGAGGAGAAGGACGCCGGGCGGTAGCCGCCGGGCCCGCAGCCCAGGGACTGCGCGGGGGCGCCGCCGTAGCCGAAGGGCCCGAAGCCCGCGCCGCCGCAGCCCGAGTACCCCGCGTAGCTCGGCGCGTTGGGGCTGCAGAAGGCGGGCGGCCTGGGGCGCAGGCAGGGCGCGCGGCAACTGGGGGGCGCGCCGTAGGCCTCCTGGCAGCCGCTGTAGACAGAGGCGCCCGGCGGGCACTGGCCGGGAGAGTAGACGACGCTGCCGGGGAAGAAGGACTCGCAGGAGGGGCCCGGGCAGCGCGAGGTGCGCCCGAGGGAGCGCGAGGAGCGGCTGCAGGAGCTGAGGCTGCAGGACATGCTGGCGGGGCCGGGGCGGGGCTGCGGCGCGGAGCGGGGCTGGCGGCAGGGGACGCCGGCGGAGGTGCTGCGCTCGCCGCCCGACGCCGCCTTTATACCCGGGCCGCGGCGGCGCGGGGGCGCGGCCAGGCTCCTGGCGAAGCGCACGGCCCTGGCCTTCAAAGGACCTTTTGATGAACGCAGACGTCTGATGAAAGGATTTCATTAGATTTTCAAAGCAATTATTCACGACGCACCGAGGTGGTTTCTCGTTCGTCCGGCTTGGGCAGACGAGACGCATTAGTTAGTTGTGCCATGATCGTCCCTATCATGCGGGTGTTTTATTCACCTGGTCCTTGAATATATCATGTTGAATGGGTAATGCAGTGATAATTTTGTTGTGTTTAAAGCTCTGAAAATACTTTTTAGTCTAGAGGAGGCATTTCTTTTGTTTCACTTTAGGAGCTCAATCAAGAACTGAAATAATAGTCCTCATTATCTGTTTCCTCTCCCAAACCTGTGGACCTTACAGAAAAATAACCCAGGGACAACCTTTATTGGTAGAAATACTAAACGAACGGTGAACACACCTGACCTTTAGTTTTCTTACCGTACAAGCACCCCCAGCATTCCTGTGGACGTGGGGCTATTTATTTACTTACTTGGCAGTTAAATTTCCTTTTATTATAATTTTGTGCAGTTGCAGCTGTGTGGCATCGTGGATGAACAGCCGCGTCCTTTCCAAAGCAGGCCGGCATCTCCAGCCCCCGGGCCCCCGCCGCAGCCGCGCCCACTCCATTCCCTGCGCTGCGCTTCACCCCCCGCGGTTGTTCTGTGACTCCCAACCTGCGCTTCGTGGAAGCTGCGCCCCTTTCCCCCGCCCCTAGACCCCCCTCCTCCGGCGACCGCCCGTCTGTTCTCTGTGTCTGTGCGTCTGCTTCTGTTCTTGTTCCTTTCTTTTTTGTTCTTTGGATTCCACGTGTAAGGAAAGCCGTTCGCTGTGGGTCTTCCTCCGACTGACTTGTCTCACTCCACGCGGTGCCCTCGAGGTCCGTCTGTGCTCACGCGGCCGGGAAGGTGCCGTTCTCCTGGGAGGTGCAGGCCGGTCCCCGGCCCGCGCGCCCCGCAGCCTCTTCCTCCCTGGTTTACTGATGGGCACTTGAGTGGCCGCCTCTCTCTGCTGTTGTAAATAACGCTGCGACGAACATCAGGGTGCATCTCCCTTTCCAAATTAGCGTGTTCGATCTCTTCATCTATCGATCCGGAAGCGGAACGGCTCAGTTGTCCGGTGGTTCTACTTTTAATTTTGATTTGAGACCGACGGCCTCATATTTGCAGGAGGCTTTGAAAATTACATGGTGAGAAGGCTCCCAGGAAGGGCCCTTGCTCTGGAGTTGCCTTGCTTCTTGAGAGAAGCCGTCAATAAACTGAATGATCAAAAATTCCCCATTCCCATAAACTTTAAGTAATTTTTGGTCATGTTGCTATTGAGAACAAAAACAGTAAGTACCACGCATGAAAAGCAGGCCTTTATTCCCTTGGCTTCCTCTCGCAGGGTGGGATTTTTACTGCAGAAGGTAAAGAAAATCAAGACATTAGAAAGTCTGTCCTCCACGTAGGCTTCGCACAAAGGGGACGTATTTGAAGAGTTTATGGCTATAAATGCATGAGCTTTGTAAGTGGACACAGGAGGGCATCAGAGCGCGGCTCGCCCGACTTGGAGGAGGCCTGCCTTCCGCCGGACAGGACGCAGGCGCAGAGACGCACGTGCTCGCCCGGGGGGCCAGGACTCCGGGCGCGCGACCCAGGCACCCTCCCCAAGTCCCTTGGGCGGCTGCAAGCAGGACGCGCAGGGCCTGCAGCAGCCTGCGCAGCGGTCAGCCCCGTAGGGCGCCCACCCTCCACAGCTGACGGGGGCTCAGTGCAAAGGGGCCGAGACTCCTTCCACGGACAGTGGGGATTTCTGGGTGGGAGTTGCAAGGGAAGACTTGGCTAAAAACGTCAAAGCAGCAACATCTGTAGAGAATGAGAGTCGCGGTCTCCCCTTGCGGGGCCGGGAAGATAGAAGCCGTGTGGCTGCGCGGGGACTCCAACCCCGAGGGGACTCGAGAGCGTCGCCGAGCGCTCCTCCGCGTTGCAGACCTTAGGGCTTGAACATTTCTTGAATAGACAGATTCATTTCAATCGTATTTCATTTATTAGTTAACATGGTTTGTCCTCTCTTTATAGAATAAATGATTCTCACTTACTAGTCTTCTTAATTATGAATAACAAAGAGCATTCTAGTAGCTTCCAAACCTTCTTGTTTTATTGTCAATAAAATAGTGAACATCAAAACACCCCTATAAATATTGAAGTCACCTAAATTGAATTTGCTTCCTCGCTTCAATGCCGCCCTCTCTTACAGAAGCTCTTTCTGTGGAAGAATATTATGGGACCAGCTATTAAGTAATATTGAACGTTCTTTCGTCAACTAAATGGAGGTCTTTATCCCCAAACACTTTTGTTGACAAGTGCAAGGGAGACGTTTTTCTGGGAAATGAACCCATCAAAGAGCCACGGAGCACGAAGGCCCCTCAGCCCGGCCTTGGCCCGGGCCTCGGTCTGGTCTCCATTCCCCTCCCGCGGAGGCTGCAGAACCGGCCACGCAGCAAGAACAATAGGACCATTGTTTTAACAATTCTTAACACTTGTGAGGAACACCCGCAAACAATTGGATTCAAAGCGAGGCCTGCCGCTCTGGGGGACAGACGGAGGCTCCCTCGGCGTCTGCAGCCGCTCCTCCCGTCCAGCACTTCAAGGCCGTGGCCTTATAACCCCCCTCCCGAACGAGAGCATCGTCCAGGGCCTGACAGGCCTGCCAGGGGTCAGCACGGCCTCCGCGTGGAGGCCGAAGCCCGCGGACGCTTTTGCCCCTTGTGTGGTGCTTATGTTCGATGCTCCTTCCAGCACCTTAGACGAACACGCGCTGACTCGCTAAGAGAGTGCAAAGCGCTTGGTGGCGTCTGGCTGGCCCCACAGCAGGTGCCGAGAGGGAGGGCCCGCGCGCCTACCGCCAGCCGGCGGCAGCTCCGAGCGGGGTGTGGGAGCGGGGGCCTCCGTTGGCACCTCGCTCAGGCAATGCCGGCTGAGGTCTGATCGGAAAATGTCCCCCTGTGGCTTGCATGTCACCTTGCTGCTGCGTCCTGGTGACGCCGTTTGATAGGTGGCCCTGCCGCTCCAGGCCACAGTCCTCGCCAGCTGCTGCCAGAAAGCACTGATGGAGGCAGGGCCGCGAGCACCTTTGCTACCCAGGCGGCAGCAACCTTGAGGCCGGCTGGGAGGGGAGCCAATTATTCCTAATTTCGTCGGCTTCCCTCACCCAGGCCCTGCCCGCCTGTAACCTCTGAGGCGGGGGGCGGGGGGCGGGTGGCTGCACAGCTTTGAAGATCCGACCGACCGCGCCTCCAGGCCCCAGGCATGACGGCATTTCCAGTCATGTTTCCAGTCGTAAACCCACCAACGCCACCTGCGAAGGACCAGAGACCTTTGCAACTCAGCGAGCAGCAGCAGGTGACCTGTTTTTATGGGCTTTGCTGCTGACACACCCAATGACCGGGGTATATAAATGTCCCAGGCCACGAAGTGACTCTCAGACTCAGAGTCTTCTTATGATAAGTCACAGCCCTCAGCCTGTCCCCTGGCTGCTGCTCTGGAGTCCGCCCCGCTCCCCGCGGCCCGGCTCTGCCCGCGGCTCCTCCGGCCCCCGCAGCCCGGTCCCCAGCGGGGCCTCCGCTTCCCCAGCCGCTGCCCTTGAGACCCTCTCTCCACAGCGGCTGCCGGGTCACCCGCGGGGAGCCCTGCAGCGGCCGGCCGGCCCGCTGCCGCCCCGGGACCCCCATGCGGGGCAGGCGCTGCCAGAGCCCTCCCCCCGGGGCCCTGGGCGGCAGGCCTGGTGGCTTCCAACCCGTGGGGTGTGGTCCCACTGTGGCCTCATCTCCGGGTGGCAGGTCTGGCTTTGCCCGGCGAACCTGCTTCTCCGCCCAGGCTGCCCGTCTGTTGCTCACCAACCGGCCTGTGGGCCTGGCTTGTACCAATCTTAGATATGAACTCAATACCTGCTATTTCTAGAAACCTAACACAGTACCTACTACATCAAGAGCCACACCATCCACGGGTCTCCGGCCTTTAGTTCACCAGCGTAACTTCCCCTGTTGCCCACTTTGGAGCCGCTGACCGCTCCCCAGCGGCTTCCTCAGGGGCAGGTCGGCGCGTGGCCCGAGAGCCCCCGGCCGCTCCCGTCCCCCCGCGCGGCTGCTCCTGCCGCACAAAGTGGGAGAGCGTTCTGAGCCTAAATGGACATGTCGTGTGGCGTGAATGCATCTGCTTCGTCTTCAACACAACTTGTAAATGACCTGGCTGGACACTTCTGTGTCTTGTACTTATCATTTAAAAAATTTTCCTTTAAAACGTAAAATTGCCTGATGTCCTTTGGGTCTGAAAGAAATTATTTTATCTTTTATGTTTACGCCATCCATTAACAACTTCATATGTCAAAATCTTGAGTCACATTTTTAAGACTACAAACAGACTAACAATAACTGTGGCCTTTTGTTCTTTAGGGAGTTGGAAACGTCATTCCTTTTATATAAAATAATTACACATTGCAAGGTATATTAAATCAACTCCTTCCCATACTTTTGGAAGAAAAAGTACCCATAAAATAGATCCTGACACAGTTGCATGGTGGGAGCGAGGAGGTCCAGCAAGAAGGCAGCTGCCAGCGAGTCAGACTGGGGGGTCCGGGGGCCCCCCCTTTACTGTGCACAGGAACTGAGCCTCTGTGTGGAACCCCCAATGCGCCCCGACACTTATGGCACGGAGGCTGGAGGCCAGAGGCCCGCCGCCCGCTCAGCTCTGTGAGCTTGAAGAGCTAACTTGCTCCTGTTGTTTCAGTTGTCCAGTTCATAGCACTTATTTGGGGGAAAAACACCTCAAAAGCAGTGCACATAGTCTCGTGACAGAACTCAGCCAAATATCCC